CTTGACGTGACATCCGTACTAACCTCGTACGGCCAAATTCATCCACTTTACACCAAAATCGACCACCGAACACAACCGAGTTCGAATTCTTCACAATGTTTGAGCAATATTTTGGAGATATTTACGAAGTATTTTCTTGTTCCTTAAAAGTAAATAATGAATCTAAAACGTTTGTACCGTTATTAAGGAAGGCTATTTTAGAATGAAAAGAACAAAACACCTTCAGAGCGAAGAAAAATCTTTTACCCACCTGTACATTCGCACAAGTGTAATTGGTACGTTAACTGTGCGTTTTGATTGTCATTCAGTATTTTAAAAAGTGCCAAAGTTTTGCGTAAAACGTAGTAGTAACTGTATGGGGACTTGTGCAATTGTTTAACATTTCAATGTTGTTTATAAGATTATTATTTATCTTCAACTTGAAGTTTGTCTTAAGACAAGAGAACCAATGTAATTGGTGTGTGAGTTCGATGAAGAACAGAGTAGTAATAGATGACGTAATTTGAAATATGTAGATACAGTAGTGGGACAGACATTGTGAATACTAGTATATGGTTTTGTCAGATGTTCAGATTGCACAGATATTATAATAGTATAATTGTGTGTCTTTGTATCAAAGTCACTTTGATAAATATAACTGTATACATGTATGTAAGAAAAGACATGTAAGAGAAAGAAATATCACTTATTACTAATCTTTGCAAGAACAAAGTCCATGTCATTAGTCAACTTTTACTTTCCACTTTATTTTCCCTGTCATATTCCCTAATTACTTTCAACTACAGTAGACACAAATGACTTTCATCTGTGTCTGCCTACACTTAACTGCTACTGAGAAGTTCTGTTTCACCACAATCCAGTGTTGTGACATCAATGTGCAGATAATGAACATCTGGTGAAGTCAGTTGCCTATTTTTAGTAATTTCTTTTGTGACTTACAGTCAATTTCTATCGTGGAGATTAGAAGACACCATCAGAACTGCATAGAATAATTTCATACAACCTTATAGGTAATTATTTGCATCGTTGCCAATGCTATTTCAGTATTTTGTTACTTATTTCAGCTTAAGAGTTCACGTTTCTCAATGTCTCAATTCTAGACAAGATTAATATTTATTGATATCTTTAGATATTATTAAAATTTATAAATCTCAATGGATAAGATTCATATTTATTAATGTTTTTAGATATGATGTAAGCAAAACCATACACATTCAAACAAATACATTTACACATAACGTTAATCAAATAGACATACAACATATATATATATCATATACATGTATATATTACATATTATGTACATAAT